GGTGGGAGGGGGGGACTTGGAGGGCATGAAGAGGGCGTGGCTCAGGGGAGGCCAATCCCAGCAGGGTTTCCAGGAGCTGTGCATGCGTGCGTGCAAGCGCAAGGGGATGTCGTCGCAATCGCAGAAGCCGGTCAAAGGCGGTCAAAGTCGGCCAGTCAAAGCCCACCTTGATGTCCATCTGGAACGCGCTGATCCCGCTGCGGCCGCCAGCCACCTGGCACGAGGGCGGGTCAGAGGGCAGCCCGCTGTCAGCACTGTAGGCACACTCGTTGCCCCGCCGCCGGGCTGGGGCCGGCCCGCCCGCCGCGCCGGGCGGCGGCTGAGCAAATTAGCACAAGGGGTGGGGCCTGCCTGCGCAGGCGAGCAGAATGCAGGTTGTGAAATGAGTGTGGAGCGGGGTGGGTTTGGGCTCACCTTGAAGTCCATGTCCCCCAGGGCGTCCTCTGACCCCAGAATGTCAGACAGCACCTGGTTTAGGGTGGGGTTGAGGAAAAAGTGGGGTTGGGGATGGGGAGTGGGTTGGACTGGTTGGTGTCAACGTTGGTCCGTCGCGGCTGAGGGTGGGGAGGCGGCTGGGGCACGAATGGGCGGGTCGTGTTGGCGGGTGGGCAAGTGGGCGGACGGGTGGATGGGTGGGTGCGCGGGGCCGTCGGTGCTGGGAGAGGGTTGGGGCGGTTTGGCTGGGGTCGAGCAGGATTTGCATGGAGTGGGGTCAGTGTTGCCGACCCCCAAGACGGCGGCCTGGCAAGGTCGCTTGTGCTGATGCGCGACGGCCACCAACAGATCGATGGGCCAGCCCGCCTCCCGAGCCACAAGGGGTCCGTAAAAAGCAAGAGCCCGGCAGCGCAGACGGCCAGGCCGCCAGCTCAGTCGCTTTGGGGCGCGCACGTGCGGGGCGCTGACGTCACGGTGACATCATCGGCTCACCTTGAAAGAGCCGTCGGGCTCCAGGATGAGGCCCATTGCGATGCCGGCCACGGGCTCCTTGAGCGGCACGCCTTTTGGGGGGAGGGCGGGGAGTGAAGGGTGTTAAGTGCGGTGTGTGTTGTTTGGGGCGTGCTTTGTGTGATTTTTTTGGGGGGGGGGGGGTGCACGGTGTGGGTGTGCGTGTGTATTGGGCTTGAAAATTCCTGCCCCAGGGCAAAATCGCCGCATGCTGCTCGCTTCCTCCGCCCGCACCTGCTGGAGCCCCGTCCCGCCGCGACCAGCCGCCCTCGCCCCCACCCCCCTTGCTCACCCGCGTCGAGCATCGCCAGGCAGCCGCCGCAAACGGATGCCATGCTGCTGCTGCCGTTGCTCTCGGTGATGGTGGACTCCACGCGCACCTATTTGTGGGGACAGCATAGTGCTGCGGCGGTCAACAAACCGTCCGTTTGACTGCCAGTCGGCGGGATGCAATTTTGGTGGGGATCTTGCAAGGAGTAGGGGTTGGTTGGGGTTTGAGGGCGCCTGATTGACTCCCACTCCCCAACCAGCCGGCAATCTTGTTGATTTGTGGAGTTTCGGTGCTAGCGAAATTGCGCAGCGAGCGAGCCGCTGCGCTGAAAGGGTTCTCGCCCTGCCATATGTGTGCGTGTGCAAGTGCGTGTGCATTCGTTCGCGCAGTCAAAGGGGAAGAGGGCCTGGCGAGGGGGAGGGGGGGCCACAGCTGCGGCGGGGGCGCTCGACGCGGGGCGTGGGCTCGGGCGATGGCTCAGTCGCGCGCAGAGCAATGCCGACTTGTCAGGGGGCCATGACAGGGAGCATCCAGCACGCCCCCAAGCCGCGGGAGGCGGCGGCGGCAGTGGCTACTGGAGGTAGGGGGGCCCACCGTGTAGGGGAAGTCATCCTTGGAGGGGATGACGGCCTCCAGCGCCCGCTGCGCCAGCTCACCGTGGCCCAGCTCCCGGCGGCCTGTGGTGTGTCAGCAAGCAAGGGTTGATGGTGATGGGTGCGTGCCAAGGGTTTCTGGGGGGTCAGCCGCGGCGCGGGGCGGGTCCGGGGCGCTTTTGGGGCCTGGCCCCAGCCTGAAGCGGGAGCCGACGGGTGCTGGAGGCGACGGGTCCGTGCAGGCGGCCCCGCGCGCCGGGCGCACGCTCCCGGCCGCCGCGCATGCATGGGCTGCACACAAGCCACCTAGACCGCGTCCTCCCACCGCCCCCGTCCCATTTAGACAACACCCACCCCCCACCCTGGGCCGCGTCAAGCCTCATGCGGCCCGCAAGGCGCGGCCCATCGCGCCACACCTGCGGGCCCGACGCGCCCCGTCTCGCCGACCGAGCTCGGCGGGAAGAAGTACTGCAGATAAAACGTCTCGAACGCGTCCTTGGCGCGGCCGGCGGCGGCGCCAGGGCCGGAGCTCTCGCTGTCGCTGTCGCCGGCGAGGCTGTCGGAGGCGGCGGAGCGGATGCCGTCGATGCGCTGGGCGTCCGCGGCGGTGCCGAGCGTGGCGACACAGAGGGCCTGGGAATGCGGGGTGGGGTTGGGTTTGGGTTGGGTTTGGGGGGGGGATGCTGGATGCAGCGGCGTGGGGTACGCCGGGCGCTCGGCGGACGCCGGCTCAAGGCTGGGATTGGGTCTTGCGGGGCCCTTTGCGAGCGGCCCGCCGGTTGTTTGCCCTGTTTCGAGCAGCCGCGGCGGGCTTGCGGGCCGAGCGGCACGCACACCCCGCGCGCGCCCGAGCCGCCGGCGCATTTTCGACCCTTGGCCGCTTGACGACAGCCCCGTTAATAGTGATTGCAGCCGTGGGCGTGCGGTTTGGAAGGGCAGCGCCGCACCTGGGTCTCCCCGCGCGTGAACAGCGCGCTCCCGTGCGTGCGCGGCAGCAGCGCCGCGCGGCTGGTGATGGGTCGCACGTCCGTCACGCCGCGGCCGTCGGCGCGCGTGCCCTCCCGCAGCACGAGGCCGCGCATCACCGACGACTCGGCCGCCTTGAACGCCATCTGGAGCTGCGGGGCGTGGTCAAAGCGTGCGGTCAAAATGCGTTTGACCGAGCTTGACTGCCTACCTGCTGCTGCTGCTCCTGCCCCCACACACCCCACCCTAACTGGTCTCTTGATTCTGTTGATTGTTCACGTTGCCTTCCGCTCAGCATGCCTCCCGCTCATCCCATTTTGCCAGCGCGCTCTGCCTGCCCACAAACCACCCACCCACCCACGCACCAACCCACCCACACACACACACACACTCGCACATGCACACATGCACACCTTTTACTCAAACCCAGCTGCAGGCGGGCCTCACTCATCACTCCCGGCCCGTCCCCCCCCCCTGGGCCCCATCAGCTTCTCACCTGCACGTCTGTCACCCCAGGGAAGTCCCCAGACGCCTCTATGGCGGCGACCATGGCCAACCGCGCCGCCTCAACGGCTGCGGTCCGGACGTCCTTGGCAGTGGGCGCCCTGCCGGTGCGTGCGGCGGATTCAGAACTTTCAGCAGTTGCGGCGGTTGCGCCAGGGGGGTGACGGCCGGCGCTGGCAACGTGTATGTGTGTTGCGTGGAGTGTTGACGCAGCCAAGTCGGGGCCGCCGCCGGGATTGGATGGGTGCCGCTCAAGCGCGCCGTGTCGCGCGGCAGAGGGCAGGTCTAGCGCACGCGGCTCGCTTGCCGATGCCTATGAAGGGCCCCCTTCCCTGGGGCGCCCTAAACCCAAAAGAATCCGGCTTAACCCCCAAAAACATTCGCCCCAGGCGCATGCACGAGCACGCGCGCGCGCGCACACACACACACACACACACACACACACACTCTCACACACACCCCTACACGCACGTCCACCTGACCCACCCACCCACACACAGTCAATCAAGTTCCACCCACCTGTATGCGGCCTCCACTGCGTCCCGCGTGAGGGCAATCACGCGCTCCTCAAGGCCAGCAGGCAGCAGCACCCTGTCAGTCCGCTTGGGCTTGCCGACCTGCGGATGAGGTAGCAAGAAGTCGTGGGTCCCCCGGGGATAGGCGTTGGGTGGATCAGGTTTAGAGTTGGATGTGGGGTTGTGTGGAGACTGCATAGGGGGTGCCTGGGTGGGTCGGCTTGTCAGCCCGCAGAAGCAGCCGACAAATTTGACCCTTGTTGTTGAGGGTGAGAAGCTTCCAGTTTGAGGCGAGGAGGAGGGTGCCAAGAAAAGGGTCGGCCGGGTCCGGACGGCTCGGCCACAACAGGCGGCGCGCGCGCGGGCGGGTGCCAGCATGAACACGTCTGCTGACCCCCTTGCCCCAGTGCTCCACGGAGGCCCCTGCAAGCGCGCCGCCTGCGCCGGGCCCTGGCCCGTGACCCCACCGTGGTCGTGACTGCCCCGACTGCCCCGCACCTTGGCGGCCCACTCCTCCATCTCGGCGCACATCTTGCTGATCGCCCGCTCGCCGACGCCGACGGCCTGCGCGGCAAACGAGAGCCACGGGAAAGAGCGGGCGTGGGTGTGTTCAGTCCTCCCTGGAGCTGGCGCAGGCTGGCAACTACGACATGCCAGTGCGTCCACCAAGGGATGCCTTCCACCTTGTTGGCCATGCGGCGTGCTTACTTGGACCAACAAAATCAGACCAACAAAAATGCATTCGACCCTGTCGCCCTACTCACCTCGATCATCTGCTCCTCTGACAAAAAGTCGCAGAAGCCCTCGATCATGAGCACCGCATCCTTGGTGCCCGCCATGACCAGGTCGAGCCGGCTGGCGGCCATCTGTCGGGGCGCGAGGTTTGAATGTCAGATCGCTGCTGCGCGTCCCCAGAACCAGCCGACGCCGAGCAAGGTGCCACGCGTGCAGGCGAGAAGGGCGGCTGGCTGGCATGTGGTGCCGGAATGGTGCCGGAATGGGTATGGAAGCGGGCGGGGCGGCAGGCGTGCTGTTGGGGGCGCGTGGCGTCATCCCCACCTGCACGGCTGTGGGGTTGACGACCCACAGGCCCTCCCCCAGCAGCGCCACGCGCACGCCGGCCACCGCCTTCTTCAGGGGGATGTCTGCAGACACGCAATTTTAGGGGGGCTGGATGGGGTGGGTGCCTTGGGTGCGTATGCAGCGAGTGGGGTCCGGCCAGCATCCCAGCGTGCCGCACAAGGTCGCCGCCACAGCGCCATCGCAACCTCAGAAGCCGCGCTGACTCAAGGTTTCTGGCTGCCGCGGACAAAAGCCTCGCTGGCCGGGGCGCACAATCAAAGCAGGGCTCGCCACCGAGCGACGCGCGTATCGGGACCCCCGCTCCACTGGTCTTTTCGGGGAGGCACCGCCCGCGCACCCGACACCATGAGCGCCGCCGCGGCCGCCGTGATGGCGAGCGGCTCCGGCTGGTTGACGCCGTCATAAGACAGCACCCACTGCAGCACCTGCAGTGCCGCGGCGGACGGGGGCCGATGCGTGGCTCGAGAGGCAGGGGAGGGCGAAAGCTGCGTGCAGTTGCGCGATGCGCCAGCAGCACACACGCATGCACACTCACACGCACACACATATTCTCTCTTTCTCTGTGTGTGTGTGTGTGTGTGCGCGCGCGTGTGTGTTGGTCTCTGTCTCTGACGCACTCAGACACAAACACGCACCCCCCCTCTCTCTCTCTCTCTCTCGCATGCGCACACATGAAAACACGCACACACACACCCTCACACACTCACCTGCGTGTCGTTCGACCAACCCTTGTCGAACATGGGCCGCAGCGGCCTGTCCACCAGCCGCGCCACCAACACGTCGTCGTCCTTGGGGCGGCCCTCGCGCTTCAGGTAAGAGCCGCTGCGCCGCGCCGGCAGGACGGCGGGGTTTGGGGGAGCGCAGGCGGCGGAGGGGGAGGGTTCTGTGTGTGTGCGTGTGTGTGCGTGAGTGTGAGCATGCGTGCATGTGTGTGGACAGTCTTGCGTTGTCAGCATGTGCTTGCATGCGTTTGCATGCGCATGTGTATGGGTTTGTCCGGGGATGGGGTGGGCGTGGCTCGGCTGGGTGGGGCCTTCAGGCTGCTGCGTGTGTTTTGAAACAACGGCTCCGCCACCGCCGCGAGCTCATTGTTGGGCCGCCAGTGGCAGCAGCGGCCGAGCACGCGCGTGGGGTGAGGGGCCGAAGGCGGTGTGAGGCGGGGCCAAGAGGTGGCACGCGGGTTGCGCACCTCGTGCGGCCTGCGGCGCTGAAGCGCTCCTGATAGTTGACCTGCAGCGGCACAAACGACCCGTCGCCCTTCGGCGTGTTCTCGCAGCACACGGTAGTGTACAGGACCTGGACAGCCGAGCGTCGGTGCATGAGGGTTTTTTTTCAGGGGGGAGCGCTGGAGGGAGGTCACGACGCGGCGGGCGGCGGCCGGACGGCGGGAGCGACGGGGCGCGTCTGCTGAACAGCTGCACACGGAATTGCCATGCGTCGCTTTTCAGTACATGCGAGCGCGCAACACTGCCTTGTTCAAAAGTCTCTATTTGAGGGTCTGCTGCCTTAGGAGAACCGAGAGCAGCGCGAGCAGCATATGCGGGCAGGGAGTGCGGGGTCTGAAGTGCAGAGTGGCGGCAAGTGTGATGGTGCACTGTGCGGGAGGTGGTGCGCGGGGGGCAGGGGCGCAGCCGCTACAGGGGCGCACCGTCTCGCCCATGGTAGCCATGATGGCGCCATTGGCCTGCCGCCCGATCTCTCCTGTCTCCAAGATAATCTGAGGAGGTGCACGTTGCAGATGTCATGCTTGTTTTGTTCACACATGCACGGATCCAGGGTGGCTTTGGTTGTGAACTGTGTGCGTGTGCATATTTGCTCACATGCATCCTCCACACCACATCCAACGGATTTTCAACACAGTCCCATGCATGCGACTCAAGCGTCAAATAGCATGGCATTTGCCATCGAGAAACGCTCTCAATCAGCATGCTGTGGCACAGATCCGAGCATGCAAACAAGGCGTACACTTCATGTGTCAGCAACAGGTGCCGCTTGGTGGCCGCCGCAAACGCACCGTCTGTCCCGCCACATCCATCACCAGCCGCTCCGCCTTTGGCAACGCGTAGGACGCTGAATTCGCGCTGCATAGGACACTCCTGGCGCGCTGCATGCGTTTGCCAGAGGCCTGGCAGCCACGGCCTGCCGGTGTGCAACCAGTGCCAGCATAGCTCACGGCGAATGGGCGTCGTGCAGAGCTTCTAATGATTGCATGGGCATGCTTGCTTCGCGATCTGCGAGCTTGCACGCCCTGCTGAGGCCCGCGTAGTGCGAGATTCATGCTGCCGAGATCAAACCGAGTCTTTCACTCTTTGCGCTACGTTAAAATTCTACAAAATGATGCGTAAAAGAATAAATTGTACTTCTCTTGCTTCGAAACTTTGACTTTACTTAGATCTGACAGCGAACGCGGCACTGGAGCCTATATGGAAAGCACGTTGCTCCTCTATACGCCCTCTTCGGCTTTAGGAGACGCCTCGGCAGGCGTACTGTCCGATGTGACAAGGCGAGCGCATGCCGCAGAGCCTTGTCCAGTGCACATGCGCCGCACACACACAGCGGTTTGACGCAGAGAGAAGCGCTCGTATCCCATGCCATCCGACCGCCACGCAGGCGCCAACGCATTCGACAGCTCACTCACGAGATACTGCAGGCATGCACGGCAGGTGCGCCGGCGCCGCGGCTCGCGCTTTTCCCCGGCCCGTCAGAGCCCCGTTGAAAAAAACCACACGGCGCCCAGCCGTCCTACGCGGCCCCTGAGCCCCCTCGGCCGCGGAAAGACTCTTCCTCATTAGATGCGCCCCGGTAACCCTGCGTGCCTGCCTGCTTCTCGCAGCTAGCTCCCCCTTTTCGTGGCTGCGGGTCCAAGGCTTCCAGCGGCTGGCGGCGGTTGTGGAGGCGGGGGTGCGGGACGACCACTCCGCCCTATCCACCTCCCTCGACCAGACTTACAGCCAAGGCGAGGCAGCGCAGCGAGGGGGGGGAAGGCGCATGCGGGTCAATGGTCTAGGGAGGGATCGTCCCACGGGCGGCGGCGATCCGCCGAGTGCCTATGTGCGACGCGCATCCATGGTGCTTCCTGGGGCGTCCGCTTACAGCCGGCGTCGAGCATCCCCCAGACACCCCTCGGTTTGATGCGCTTAGCAGATGCACCACCTGCATGTCCTCAACCCGGACCGCCTCGCAGTCTTGGAAGTCATCCTCAGCTCCCTTGACCGCCAGTTAGTCATCCCCCCGGACCAGCTGCGCGCGCCCCCCGCGCCGCCCGCCGGCACCGGCACCGTCCGCAGCAGACTGCAGCAGCACGTAGCGCGGCACCAGCGCGCGCTGTCCGCGGCGGCGGCGCCGCCGCTGCTGCCCGGCGGGCTGTCGCCGGGGCACGCGGGGCCGGAGGAGTGGGCGGCGGCGGCGGCGGCGCTGGCGGGGGTGTGCATACTGCACGGCAAGACGCGGGCGGTGCTCGCCACTGCTCAGTACCTCCAGGTCTGAGCGCGCGTACGCGTGTGTCAGAGTGTGTGTGATTATGTTTGGGTATCAGAGGCGTTGTGGGCCGAAGGGCCATAGGGCGCGGTGCTACGGGGCGCCCCAGCCGCAATCATGACCCTCTGTGACCGAGCCGCCCGGACGCGCCTGCGCGCCCCGCAGCTCATCGTCAGCCGCGCCTGCTCCTGCCCGCCCGCCGCGCCGCCCGCGCTCGACGCGCTGCTCGCGGTCACCGCCGGGAGCGCCGAGGCACAGGCACTCTTTGTCGGCAACGGCGGCCTCGACGCAGTCGCGCGCCTCGCCCTTGGCCAGGCCGCCGAGCCGGGCGCGCGGCGCGCCGGCGCGG